AGGTCAAGACGCTGCTGCGCGACCATGGGTTCACCATCAAAAAAGCAGGATCAGTGCAGCAGGGAGCTCAAGGCTGGCTCAGGTGCAGGGAGAAAAGCACCAGACGGGTCGGCCAACGAGCGCCCGAATATCGACTTCGACGAGCTTTGGAAGCAAGCCGAAGGTACGAATCATATCCTGGGGGTCGAATCCATTGCGTATCAGCAGCTCCTCGCACAGTACGAGTCCGCACACCAGCAGCGGGACAGCTCCAAGCCGCATTCGGTGCAGCTTTCGGCAGCTGCAAGGGCCAGACAGAGGATCTAGCGGGGGCTCGAGACAGCCAAGTCCAGGTTGAGAGGTTCGAAATGGAGTTGGAGGCAGTCCGCAGCGACCGCGGCAAGCAGAAGAAGGTTCTCTCGGCCGCAACGGCCAAGGCGACAGCGCTCAGTGTTGGGGGTGGGCAAGTCTGAATCGTTCACCGAGGCCTACTTCGACGCGTGGTTGCGGCCCCGATCAGTTGCAAGGGCGCGGAGTCGCGACCGGGGAATCGGGGCGACCGACATGGGCACAGAAAGAGCGGGCACAAAGACCGACAGCAGTCCTCGTTCATTTTGAACAGGAATCGCTGCCGGCGTCACCGCGGATCGTGCCCATTTGAGGCATAAGGCCGCCTCCCAAACAGCGGCTGCCGTTGGTTCGGGACAACATTTCCTGTTGGGCATTGTGCCCGTTGTTTCCGCGCCCATTTCGGGCGTCCAAAGGGACGTCGCAACGGCGCGAGAAGGTCATGCTCGGCGTCGGCAAGGCTAGCGCTGCCGCGCGGGCTCGGTCTGCCCCCCCTCCCGGCCGCGGCGCTGCCGGTCCACCAGGCGGGGGGGCAGTCGGGCCGCAATCGACGAGGATAGAGATGGGCGCTCAACTCTCAGCGAAGAAGAACGGCAGCAGTCGTTATCGGGCAAGCCCCGCGCGCAGGCCACCGAGTTTCAGCAGAAGCGGCCGGCGGCAGTTTGCGTCGAGGCCGCCAGCTTCCTCGCCAGGAAGCAGAAGTGCGGGTAGCTTTGCAGCTGCGGCTTGCAGTGAGGACATCACTGCCAGGGCTTTCAACGGCCCCAGCTGGGCCACTTCGCGGGGGAAGTTGGATGGGGAAGAAGACGGAGGGCACGCGTGCGTGCGCCGCCCAGTCCAGGAGACCCACTTGCTGGAGGACCACGGGTGTCACGCAGAGCTTGAAAGTCAAGGGCAACCGGGCGGTGCCATGGCGATCCCGTCGGGAATTGGCAGACTGCAGAGCAAGGTGCGTTAGCGGGAGTCGGCGCGGCGGCGCCGAATAACGTCGGCATGAATTACGCATGTGGGCAAGGGAAATGGGGGGCCCCCCCCGGGGACACGCGGGTGGGGCTGTCGCAGCTAGGCTCGCGGTCGGACGTGGCGGCTCAGTGCTAGCGCCCATGTGCACGTGGGCGGCGGAGGGCATCGCGTACCGCGGCAAGCGCCGCCTAGAGCTCCGAGAGCGCGTCACATGCCGCCCCGAGAGCGTCGACCCGCCGTGGATCAGCGGGGGCGACTTTCAGAATGCACCGAAGGAGGTGGCGGAGCTGGACGCGGCGACGATGGCGAACGCGCCGGCGGCAGCGCCCGCGGACGCCGCGCGTCGGTCTGCGCGGGCCAATGCAACGATCGACTATTCATTGGTGCCCGACGCCCTGAGCGCCCAGGTGGCCCGCGTCGCGGCCCGGGAGAGCTGGCCGTTGGCTCCGCGCAAGCCAGTTGGGATCACGATCCTCGGCAAAGTGCCGCTTAAGATGGCAATGATGCGGTCGCGTCGAAGCCGCGGGCGAGTCGCAGGTGGGCCGCGCGCCAGAGCCACCCGTCCACGCGAGGGTCGGGGAAGTCACCGCGCAGGCCGGGGCGACAGAGCGCTGGGAGTTTCCCATGGAGAATTTGGAGAAGGAGACCTTTGGCCTGCGAGGGCTGGAGCGGGAGCTGGACTACCCGCGGGCAGGGGGGGGGGCAAGGAGCCCGCGCGGGTCGTCGAACCACAGGCGGCTGCAACCATCCCCGGGCATGGGGAGAGGCGCTGCGGCGGAGGCGGCTGACCAGATCCCTGATCGAGCAACGTCAGCATGGAAGACAAAGTCACCGGGCATTCGAGGTGCGAGTTCGCGGTGAGCCAGCGGCTTCGTGCCGAAGATCAGCTCGATGACCTGACCTGCGGCGCCTGGTGGACGGGGCCGTGGCTCGCCCCGAGCAGCGCGATCAGGCCCTCGTGGACAGGGCAGGAGTGGGCTGACAAGCTGGAGCGATCGGCTTCGGGCCCAGCAGGACTTCTGCGCAAGCTGAGCAAGCCGGGAGAGATGGCGACCGTGCAGGGCGGCCACAGGGAGGGCGGCGGCGGGCTCATTGCAGGCAGCGCAGGTGGTGCTGGATGAGCGGGGCCACGTCTGGCGAGCAGGCGATCTGATCCAGCAGCAGACGCGCCTCCAGGAGATCGGGGCGCGAGGGGCTGCCCGATTTCACTGGCGACGCGGGGCAGGCTGAAGCTCGTCGCCAGGACACTCAACAAAATGACGCGGTGGTTGCGGCGCGCACGCGGGGTGGGGCGCGTGTGTGTGTGTGTGTGTGTGTGTGTGTGTGTGTGTGTGTGTGTGTGTGTGTGTGTGTGTGTGTGTGTGTGTGTGTGTGTGTGTGTGTGTGTGTGTGTGTGTGTGTGTGTGTGTGTGTGTGTGTGTGTGACGTGCGTGCGTGCGTGCGTGTGCGTGCGTGCGTGCGCGTGTGCGTGCGTGCGTGCGCGTGCGTGCGTGCGTGCGTGCGTGCGTGCGTGCGTGTGTGGTGTGCGTGTGTGTGTGCGTGTGTATGTGTGCGTGTGTGTGTGTGTGTGGGGGGGGGGGGGGGGGGGGGGGCGGGCAGGTGGCATCCTGGGCATCTTGCTGGAGGTGGGTGGGGAAGACGATGGTTTGGCCCGTGCGCGCGGCCACGGTCATCTTCTTCCTGATGCCCAAGTCATTCGCGACGGACAGAATTTTTCCCCCCCCCCCCCCCTCCACACACACACACACACACTCCACCACCACCACCACACCGCGATCAGAGTCTTGGAGAGCATGGCGGAGCCGCGCTTCCAGGCGTGGGCGAGGGGGAACCGGCGATCTTGGGATTGCATCTCACATGGGCGCGTTGTTGAGGATGCGGCGTGGGAAGCACTGTTGGCACGTGATGCCTGCGACCCAGGCGCAGCCAGGCCCGAGGCGCAGGCCGCGATCACCGCGATGCGGGATTTGGTACAAGCATTCGAGCAGGTCAGCCTCCACGCGCCGCGGGAGCGCGGGAGGCGCGCGAGGTGCTGGCGGCGGCGCGCCCCTATTTCGACGCGACGCGCAGCCCGAATGTTGCGGAGTCGGTCTCGGAGGAGACGAGCGTGGCGGGCGCCGTCATAGCGGGCGGCGTGCGCTTGCTGGGCATCCTGGAGCTGGTCATCCAAGACACGCGGGCGCCCTCGCAATGATGCGCCCACCGGTCACGCGGCGCATGCACGTCGACGACTTGCGCATCGCGCAAGGGGGGAAGCAGCAGTGCATCGCGGACACTGTCAGCGGCCTCATCGACGACAGCTTCGCGGTCTTCGGGAAGCCAGGCTTGCAGTTCTCGGTCGGGGGGTGCAAGGGGGGCGGCGCCGGCGCGGCTAGCGCGAAGCGGTCCAAGGGGGCGGCGGCAAAAGATAGCATTGAAGGGGGGCCGCCGATGGTCACGGCGCGCCCCCACTCGAGGGCCGACGCGGCGGCCGACGGCACCTCGGTCAAGACGAAAAGCGGCGAGCTCTTCGGGAAGAGGACGCAGCGCGCCAGAAGGCTTTGCAACATGCAGCGTTGAGGCTCGTGGGCCAGGCTCGGTGCGAAAGTGTAGCCTCGGGCGCTCGGTGCTGCGTGGATGCAAGTGCCTGGGCATGCGCGACCATCAGTTGCGACGGATATGGCGGTCGGTGGGCAAGATCCTGCCAGGCTCGAGGGGGGCCAGGAGGTCGACCTCGCAGCTGGCTGTGGCCCGGGGGGGGGGGGGGGGAGGCGCGCGGCGCGGCGGAGGCGCCCGCAGTTCGCCAGGCAGGTGATGCGCGGGAGGCGACCTGCGACAACAGGCTGCGAGGGAGCTCGGGATGTGGACGCAGGACGGTCGGGGTAGGTGCCCCTCGAGCCTCTCGGCTCTCATGCCGCCACGTCTGGCAGTCAGGGCGCTAGTGCTGACACGTTGGACGGTCGGAACGCAAGTTGGAGGCCATTCCCGCGGCCTCGAGTTGCGAGCTGGTCAGGATCGAACTCGGAGGTGTTCCTTCACCACCCGCCAGCCCAACCCGAAGGCCCCGATGTGCCTTCCATTTCCAGTGCGGTGGGGGGGGAGTCGGGGAACATATGACAAAAATTAACCCGTACCCGCCCAAACCCGAAATTCGGGTCTTCGGGTTGGGTTGGGGTGGTTTGGTCGGTAGTCACTCCTCTGACCTCCTTGTTCTCGCGGCCCCACGGGAAATGGTCAGGGCGCGGCGGCAACCTCTTCCCGGACGTGAGGGTAGGCCGGCCATGGGGTTTGCCGCCAGACCCCATACGTTTTTCAGAAGCGAGACCCAGCGCTTTGACAAAACAGCAGAACGGGAGGGCCGTCCGTCTATGTGTCTCGTGTCGCAGGCTCCCCGGTCCACACGTCATCCCTTCCGTGCACGTTTTCGCCCTCTTCTGCCCCCCCGTCCCCCCTCCCCCCGCCCTCCCCCCCCCCTCCGCCTCCCTCCCCCCTCGTTCCTTCGCGGCCCCGGCAGTTGGATGCCCACCAGGGCCATGGCTTCTCCTTCCCCTCGCTCTCGTTCCCCCTCCCCCCTCTCCGCCGCCCCCCTTCCTTTCCCCATGCGGCGGGCGGAGGCGGAGGCGGAGGCGGAGGCGGAGGCGAAGGGAGGAAGAGGGAGGAGAACGAGAGGACGAGGCGAAGGAGGAGGAGGAGGAGGAGGAGGAAAAAGAAGAGACCCACCCCCTCGCAAGGTGTTCTGCGCCTTCGCGGCGGCGCGGGAGTGGGCCACCGCCCCAGCGCGAGGCCAGCGCCCCCCCCCGCGGACGCTCCAGGGCGGGGCGCCCGACGACCGGCGACCGACGACAACGGCCGATGACGACGATGGATGACGACGACGATGATGGACGAAGAAGATGGCGTTGGGATGGACGATGAGTGCGACGATCATGGCCGACGAGGGTCAAGATGCGCGTCAATACAGCTGGTTCTGATCCTCCCTCCCTTCTGTCGCCTTCCCCCCTCTTTCACTCTCGCGCCCCCCGCCCTATGCTGCTGCTGCTGCTCTTCAGATTATCCCTTACTCGTCCTCCTCCTCGTTTCGTCCTCTCCCTTCTCGTTCCTTCTTTCCTCCTCGTCCTTCCCCCTCGTCCTCTTCCTCTCTCGTTCTACTCCTGCGCACCGCTCCGAAAGCGCCCCCCTGGGCCCAGACGGCCCAGCCGCGCCTTGCGGCACGTGGGCCCCCCAGCCAGGCACGCCCGGCTGGTACGTCTGGCCGAAGCGGGGATTTTGATGGTTAGTGTATTCTCGAAGAGGTTGCGTGTATGCGGTATCGTAGCCACGACGTAGTACACTAAGGTCCCCCACCTTGACTGGACTGCCAAAGGCGGCAGTGCAGGTCGAAGCTGACTCCCGGACAAAATCATATCGCGTGGATCTTGTTTTTGTTTTGGTAACACCATGCACGTGCTTCCTCAGCGTGGCCTCTGATCACTCGGTACGGTTGCAGCTTGCAGTTGCGTGCGGTTGCCCAGACCATTCCCTACAGTATTACACCAGGAAAAACATCAATCAGTGGATGGTTTGATCGATAAGGAGATCGACCGGGGACCCGGGAACCCAGAACCCACCGAAATCAGCCCGGAACCAATAACCAGGAACCCGGGAACCCGGAACCGGGAACCCGTGAACCCAGCCGGCCACCAAAATCGGCGGGAAATGGTCGCCAAATGTTTCAATGTTTGACGCTTCGCATATCCCCACCAGTGTCGTTCGGCCGGAGACAGGCGCCGCCAGGGCGTCTTCTCCCCGCTGTTCTTGTACTAGTGCTGGTCGCCGCGCGTTCCCACCCGTTGGGGTGCCTGGCTCGATCACCTGGCCACGCTGTACCGCCGTTGCCGCCGCACGTTGCGACGTGGCGTCCCCGCCCGCCGGGATGTCGGCGTCGGCCTTCGGTGTTTAATTTGGGTAATTTTGTCCCTTGCATGTGCATGCGCCTCTTCGGCTAATTATCTTCGTTTCGCGCCCCGTCCGATGCACCGCTTCCTGACCTTTGCCTGGGAGCTGCCAACAAAAAAGCATGTCCCCACCAGCCCATCCAGAAACAATACCCATGAGAGTTGACGGGGGGAGAGGAAGAGACACGCACAGTCAAACAGCGAGGGAGGCTTGGGAGGCTCCGTGGCCATCTCGAGCCGTCTTGGAGCGGTCTTGGGGTCGCTTGGAGCATCTTGGGAGCCATCTTGAGCCAGCTTGTGTTACCTGAGCCATCTTGGAGGTCATCTTGGGCTCTCTGGCCTCTTGGGGGCCTTTCGGGGGCCTCTTGGAGTCCTCTTGGGGCCTCCTGGAGCGCTCTTTGGGCCCTCTTGGGAGCCCCTTGGGAGCCCTCGAGGGCCTCTTGGGGCCATCTTGGAGGCAGTCGGTCAAAAGAGGGGGGTACTCGATGTTCGTCCCCCCCTCGGGGGCCACGATCCTCGTGAGGTCGTGAAGGGTGGGGAAAAATGGCCCTCTCAGGGGCCGAAAACAAACCTTCTGACACCTCGCGGCCCCTCCCAAAGAACCTCACGGAGGGAAGGGGGAGGGTTACACTCCCCGAAGGGAAGAGGGGTTGTTTGTGGACGAGGAAAGAGACCGTCCGTAGACCACCTGTCGCCCAAAGGGCTGGTGGGATTCATTCATTTTCGGTACGTTTTTGAAGGATTTGGGCATCTCGGCGGCATCCTGGTGAGGCTCCGTGGCCACCTCGAGCCGTCTTGGAGCGGTTTGTGGGCCTCTTGGGGCATCTTGGGACCATCTTGAGCCAGCTTGGACTATCTTGAGCCATCTTGGAGGTCATCTTGGGCTCTCTGAGGCCGCTTGGGGGCCATTCGGGGGCCTCTTGGAGGCCTGCCTCTCGGGGGCCTCTTGGAGCCCTCTTGGTGCCTTTTGGAGCGCCAGTGGAACCCGGGCCTCTTGGGGCCGGTCGGTCAAAAGAGGGGGGGTATTCGATTTAGGTCCCCCCCTCCGGGGCCACGATTCTCGTGAGCGGTGGCAAAAAATGGCCCTCCCAATGGCCGAAAAAGGAGCCCCCGACACCTCGCGATCCCTCCCCAAAAAACCTCAGGGAGGGGAGGGGGAGGGTTCCCCTCCCCGAAAGGAAGAGGGGTCGTGGAACAGGAAAGAGACCCTCCATAGACCACCTGTCGCCCAAAGGGCTGGTGGTATTTCCGCTAGGACCCCTTCAGTACAAGCACTGATTGGGGACCAGCAGTACCCACTGTAGGGTCGCTCATGACGATATCCGTAGCCTCGGCAGTGTTGCCCTCGCCGGTACTTTTGTTGTTGGTAGGGATGTCCCTGGCCAGCGTCGGTAATTTGGCAGTTGCAACTTCTCCATGCCAGTACTTGAACGTCGCGAGGCAGTTGCTGGCCCGTTGCACCGCTGGGGTAAGCCGCCTCCTCCTCCTGTCCTCCTCCTTCTCCTCCTATTCCTCCTCCTGTCCTCCTCCTTCACATCATCCTCCTCCTCTCCTCTCTCGTCCTCCTTCCTCGCTCTTCCATCGCCTCCCCACTTCTCTTTATTCCGTTCCTTCTCCCTCCGCCGTCCCCCTGCATGGCTCTTCTCGCCCTCCTCCAACCTGTCTCCTCTCTCTTCCCTCCTCTTCTTTTGTGTGTGTGTGACTTCTTTCCCCGGGTGTCAGCCCTTGTTTCCTGGGTTCCCGGGGCTACGTATTGGGCTTCCCTGTCCTTGCGTTCTCCGATGTTCGTAGTGTGTGCGTTCTTCGGGTGTGCTGGGATCCCTTTATAGTTTTGCATCGGTTTGCCTTGTGTCATGCTGCTGTGCGTTGAGTTTGTTTGCGTTTGCTTTGCTTAGGCTTGCAAGGCCGTTGGATACTCGTTTTGAATAAGAGCACTGTGGTCGCGTCCCCCCTTCCCGCCTCCCCCCTTTTTTTTTTTTTTCTCTCTCTCTCTCTCTTTCTCTCTCTTTCTCTATCTCCTTCTCCTCTTGTCTCCTACCTCTCTCGGACCTGTCTCCGACCTCGCCATGCAGGGGGGCTACGATCTGCGAAACTGGCGCCATTTTCGGAGGCAGATGGGGGGTCCAGCGGAGTAACGCCCCACCCGGACCTCAATTAGACGTCGCCATCCCTGGAGGCTGCGATTTGGGAAACTATCGCCACTTTCGAGGGCCGCTCGGGGGTCCATCGGAGAGACGGCCCACGTAGACTTCAATTTGATCTCGCCATCCCTGTGGGCTGAAATATGCGAGATTGCCCCCACTTTCGAGGGCTGCTGAGGGTTCAAGCGGAGTGACTCCCCACGGAGACATCAATTAAACTTCGCCATCTTTGGGGGGGGTCGATCTGTGAAACGATTGCCAGTTTCGAGGGCTATTGGGGTTCCAGTGGAGTGCTGCCTCACGCAGACATCAGTTGGACCTCGCCATCGTTGAGGGGGCTGCGATCTGCGACATTGTCGCCATTTTGAGGGTTGCTGGGGGTTCCAGCGGAGTGACGCCCCACGCAGACTTCAATTTCAGGCGGCCCGGATTAGTAGGTCGACCTTGCCAGATCAAGGGTACCCTCGTGTCTTGTGTCTCGCGGCCCATGCCTCCTGCATTCCTGTGGCAATGTGGACATCGGAAGGGTCTTGCGTCCTCTCGCTTGTCCTGTCCAATCGAGTCCGACTGTAGACCTCGCCATCTTTGTGGGGTTGCAATGTGCGAAGGTGTTGCAACTTTTGAGTGCTGCTGGGAAGTCCAGCGGATCAACGCCCCACGCAGACCTCAATTTGACCTCGCCACCCATGGGGGGCTTGGATCTGCGAAACCATCGCCACTTTCGAGGGGGTCAGCGGAGTGACGCCTCACAGCAGGCAGTACGGAGAACTCGGTGGGAGAGGTCGGCCTCGTTCGCTCCTTGCACGAGCTATGAGAAGCTGATCCTTAGGAGCGCCCGAGCGACATGGCGCGGGCCGCGCTGCTTGTCCAGCGTGTCAGTGGGTAATGCCCGCCACTCTCTTTCCTCATCTTGCGTCTTTAGTCGTCGTCGTCGTCCGACTTCACCGTCTTACTGTTGTTGTTGCGTCAACGGTTTGGCCCTTCTTCCGTTTTGCCCCAGCCCTTCGTTCCCACCCCCAATTCCTCTTCGAGCTTTGGGGCTCAGTCCTCGCCTTTTGTTTTTTGTCTTGTGATTTGCGCAACGCACGCGCCTCCCACATAGCTTTCAGAACAAATCGCAGGTCCTGCGTTGCCATGTGTCAAACTATACTGGATCAGCTCATCTTGCCACTTTGTGCAGATGAGTTGGGTATGCCGCAGGGTAAGTGGCACAGCCTCGCGTTTCTGTGTAATTCGTTGAATTGCAACGGCATTCGCTCTCCATGGCAATGCTGTGCCACAGCTTCGCTGTGCTTCGCGTCGAATTTGCATAGGTGCACCCTTGGCAAGTAATGCGCCTCGCCTCGGTCCGCATGTGGGCGCGTACGTGCGTGCAGCTGTGAGCCCTTGAGGGTCTGTTTTCGAAAGAGCCTAAGCGCGCGAACCGCGCGCGGTTCTAAACTTTGATGTGCTCGCATCCCGCGTTCGACCGGCCCAGACCTCCGACAAGTTGGGTTTTGTCATCGCACGTTTTGGCTCGCAGCCCCCTCCCGCGAAGTGCTTCTCACGTCGAGCTGTTTTTGGACAGGTCTGCTTCCCAGAGGCCGAGCATCTTCCTGACCATCCTGTGGTGTTGGTTCTTCGCTTTGAAAAGACAGCGACCCGCGTTTCTCCTCCTCTCCTCTCCTCTCCTCTTTCCTTTCCCCCCTCCTCCCATCGCTGCCTCGTGGCCCCATAGGGAGCTCCACCGAAACCATCGGGCAGGGGCGGTCGCATGCGGTTCCCCGCCAATTTCGGCACACCCTTCACACGTGTCGTGTCCCCATTAGCGAAGCCCCAGGGGCGGGGGCGGCCGCATGCGTTTCCCCACCCATTTCAGGGCATACCCCTCGCACGCTTCGTGGCCCCATGGGCGCTCCACGAAGCGGGGGGCGGGGGAGTCGCATGCGTTTCCCCACCCATTTTGGCACACCTCTCGCACGTTGCGTTGCTCCAGAGGAATATCCACCGAAGCCTTGAGGGCGGGGAGGGGCGCATGTGGTTTCCCACCCACTGACACGCTTCGTGGCCCCATAGGGAGCTCCACTGGAGCCTTCGGTGGAGGTACACATGCGTCCCCAGGTCCATCACCCCTCACACTGTTCGTGGTCCAATAGGGAGCTCACCGAAGGCCCCAATGTCTTTGCCCGCAAGCGTCCCTAGTGCCACAGGGAACTCGACGCTTCGTGACCCCATCGGGAACTCCACCGACGGCCCCAGAGGCAGGGGTTGCTTGCGCCCCGTGGCCAAATTCGGCACACCTCTCGGCTGTTTCACGGCCGCACATGGCGCTCCATGGAAGGCGATACACAAGTGCGACATGCACAACTGCATATGGTCGGGTCCTTCGCCTGGATAATTTTAGTCGCCAGGGGTCAGGCCTCAGTACCGCAAAGTCGATCCCAGGACCTGCCCTGGATTATGTTCTGAGCGGAACTTATGTGGGAGCACAGCCGTGGCGGAAAGAGACGTCCGAGAGACCCAATAAGGGCGAACAACGCCAGGGCCTCTCGCCCGCTTCCTGCGAATCGGGCTTTCATTACGAGCTGTTGTTTGATGGCCCTCGGCCCCAGGGACGACCTCCACAGGCAGGACGGGCCCGAACATCAAATTGTAGCGAAATGCAATGACTTTTTGCCAAGAATCAACGCTGCTGTACAGTTCTCAGTGTGCTGCTAGCACGGCCCAGTGTTGGGCCTCTGAGGCAAATGGGTGCTGAGGCGGGGAAGCGCTGGTTCAATCCATCCCATTCCGCTTGGGCTAAACTGCGTACGCAGCTATCTTGCCAGAAACTGAATTCAGAACGATCTTCACATGATGCTCGAAGACCTCACCTCGGCCCCCGCGCCCGACGCAGCAGCTTCCCCTCGGCACGGCGTGCTCGGTGACGTTCCTGGCGGGCCAGGCTTCGTGTGGGACGACGGTGCGCGCGTCGCGGAGGAACGCCACGGGGGGGAACTTCCTCCGTCTCGAGACCTCAGGCGTCGTCGTCGTCGTCGACGTCGTCTTCGTCGTCGTCGTTGTCCGTGGTGGAGGCGCGTCCCCCCCGCTGCCGCTGCCGGTATCTGCATTGTTCACCTGGTTGTTCGACTGCCTCCTGGCCGTGACTACGCCGTAGGCTTCCGCGATAGGAGAAAGGGTACCAGGCCAGATCAAAGTCGTCGTCGTTGGCGACGTTCGAAGTTTATGAGCGCCGGTGGGCTTTGTGGGCCTCCAGGGGCGCCCCAGAGGGTCATGGCTGGGTCCGCCTCGGAATTCTGGCCAGAACGCGCCCCCGCTCCAGGTTTCGTGATGCTTGCTGGAGGGTTACCACCCCCGCCGATCGCCCCGAACCGACCCCCGTCGCGGGCAGACCTCGCGCGCCGAACGCGTTCCCACGGTGCGCACTTTCCCTGGCACGCAGAGGGATATCCTGGACAATTGCTGCGTTTCCCATCAGGTCTCATATCACAGTGTTGACAGGACAATGGTAAATTGATGAGCCCTGGACATGCTTTCGGGAGACTTCTCAAAGGCGCCTGAGAGACTTCGTAGACACAGTTTCGTGGAAGGCTTGGGAGGCTTCTTGAGGGATTATCTTCTTGGAGGCGTCTTCGAGGCTCATCCGAGGCTTCTTAAAGGCTTTGAGAGCCTCCTGGTCGGCTTCTCAGAGGCTTGTTAGCAGCTTACTGGAGGCGTCTTGGAGGGATACAGTGTCGCCTCAAGCGCTTCGCACAGACTTCTATGGGCTTCTGACAAGGCTTACGAGAGGCCTCGTAGAGGTTGCTTAGGAAGTTTCTTGGAGGTTCCCGAGAGGTTTTCTGAGAGGAATGAGACTTCTAAGAGGCATCTTAGAGCCTACCTGGAGTCGTCTTGGGGACTTCTTACAGGCCTCTTCGATGCTTAGGGGCACTCGAGGCTTCTCGCAAGGTATGCTGTAGTGAGCGCAACAACAGAAACAGCTCATTCAGCCCTGTTCCAGATGAAGGAGAGGTAACTTAGGGAGCGGAGGATGAGGTGGGGGAAGGGGAGGAGGGAGGCAGGGGGGGAATGGAAGTGCGATCCACATCGGCCCAGCACTGCCTCCAGTATTCAACTGCTTGCGCCACGTCCCGCCAACGTGTCAGCCCAGCATCCTGTGACTCTTGTTCAAGATGCCGCGGGAGGCCGCTACGTGTGGCATCTCGTGTCGCCAAGCTTGGGAGAGCCGAGCTGAGGATGATCAGTGTATTGAGGGTGTTGGGGATGATAGTAATGATTGTTTAAACTGGTTATGTTGATGGGATTATGGTGATGATTACGATGATGACGATGATGGTGATGATGATGGTGACGATGATGATGATGGTGATGGTGATGGTGATAATGATAATGATAATTATGATGATGGTGATGAGGAGGATGATGGTCATGATCCTGATTATGATGAGGATGATGATGTTGATGGTGATGGTGATGTTGCTGATGATGGTTTTGATGGTGATGATGCTGAAGGTGGTGTTGATGGCGGTGATGTTGATGCTGAGGGTGTTAATGAAGATGGTGGTGGTGCTGATGATGCTGATGGTGGTGATGTTGCTGGCGATCATGATGATGGTACTGATGGTGATGCTGATAATGCTGATGATGATGATGACGCTGACGACGATGATGATGATGGTGATGATGGTGGTAGTGGTGGTGCTGATGATGCAGATAATGAAGAAGATACTGAAGGTGATGAACATGATGATGCTGCCGATACTGATGCTGATGGTGATGCTGATGATGAAAATGATGGCGATTACGATGCTGGTGCTGCTGACGATGACCATCATCGTCATCATAAATATGATGTTGATGCTGCTGATGATGATGATGTTGGTGATGGTATTGCTGATGATACGGATGATGACGATGCTGATGCTGCTGATGATGAGTGTGATGCTGCTGCTGATGATGCTGCTGCTGCTGATGATGATGATGATGATGATGATGATGAGTATGTTGATCATGCAGAGATGAGGATGCTGCTGATGATGATGGTGATGCTAGATATTATGTTGGTGATGTTGATTATACTGATGCTGATGGTGATGAGGATGAGGATGAGGGTGCTGATGCTGGTGCTGATGCTGCTGATGATTATGATGTTGTTGTTGCTGCTGTTGATGATGCTGATGATGATACTGATGCTGATGGTGGTGGTGGTGGCGATGATGATGTTGATGATGCTGCTGATGGTGGTACGGAGGAGACGATGGGTGAGGAGGAGCAGCCGGAGGAGGAGGAGGAGGAGGAGGAGGAGGGGGGGGAGGAGGAGGGAGGAGGAGGGGGAGGAGGAGCGGACGGAGGAGCACGAGTAGGAGCACCAGGAGGAAGACGAGGAGAAGGGGTAGGAGGAGGCAGGCTGTCGCACGTGACATGTTTCGTCTTCGCTATTTGAGGAGCCCTCATAGAATTCGTTTGGGCCGCTCTCTTGGTCGTCTTGGGGCCCTCTTGGCCCCAAGGCTGCCAATTAGGACCGTCTTGGAGCCATCTTGGGCCGTCTTGGAGGCATCTTGGCCTCGGGAACGCGAATCAGTTCTTCTCTTCGGTGCAGTGCCGCCTCGAGAGCACGAACGTGCAGCACTATTGTGAGGGGTTGTGGCCTCGGGATGGGGTCAGTGCATGCCGCCCAGTGCGTCGAGAGGGGGTGGTGGTCCCTAAAAGATTATCAGGCGTTTGCCACACCGCCGACCGCTTGGGGGACTGGCGGTTGTAGTGTGTTGCGCCTGAGGGCTTTTGGGGTGCCTTTGGGGGGCTTCTCGGAGGTCTTTTGATGGTCGGAGACGCCTACGGCGAATCACCGCCACTTCCTGCCTTTTGGCATCGCCCATGTGGCCGAGCATTGCGGCAAGAGTTCTGCCAAGCTATCGGACCATATGTTCACCCAGTCGGTGTAGAAATTTTTCGGGGAACACTTTGGGGAGGACCACGGGGACGATGAGGAGGAGCATGAGGAGGCGGAGGAGGAGGAGGAGGGGAGGGCATCTTGGGAGCCTCTGGGGACAAGTTTGGGACCTCCTGGGAGCTTCCTGGGAGACTCTTGGAGGCATCTTGGGGGCCTCTTGGGGGCCTTTGGGGCTTATCGGGGAGCTCTTTGGTTGTCTTGCGGCATTCCTGGCCCGTCTGCCGCCGTCGGAAGTCGTATTTGTAGCCTCTCTGGGCCGATTTGGTGCCTTCTTGGGGTGCTCCAGGGCCGTCTTGCGACTGGTTGTTACTGTGGCCCATTGGGTGTTAGTGTGGCCCGTTGGGTGTTAGTGTGGCCCGTCGCGCGGCGGGATGGGAGTTACTGTGGCCCGCGCAGGCCGCTCAATGAAAAGTAATATGTAAAGGTATCTCATGTTAGATCTGGAGAGATTCGCAACCCTTAAGGGAATGCGCTCCCGCGCAGGCAAAAGTGGCCACATTAACTCCCATCTGGAATCAACGTGGTAGTAGTGCTGTGTTAGTGGTGTGGTGGTCGCTGTGCTATGTTAGTGGTGTGGTGTTGGTAATGTTGTGTTAGTGGTGTGGTGTTGGTAGTGGCGGGTTGTTCTGTATACTGTGTTAGTTGTGTGGTGTTGGTAGTGGTGTGCTGTGATAGTGATGTGGTGTTGGTAGTGTTGTGTTAGTGGTGTGGTGTTGGTAGTGTTGTTGAGTTGTTAGTGTTGTGGTAGTGGCAGTGATGCTGTGGTAGTGATGTTGTGGTAGCGGTGTTGTGGCGTGTGGTTGTGGTACTGTGGTGGCGGTGTAGCGGTGTTGTGGTAGCGGTGTTGTGGTGTTGTGGTACTGCTATTGTGGTAGTGGTGCTGTATTGTGCTAGTACTATGGTGCTGTAGTGCTGGTGTTAGGTAATATCATTCATAGGGGGTACTAGTCCTACGGAGTACTAGCCGCAGGGAGTGCTAGCCCCAAGGAGTACCAGTCCTAGGAATTACTACCCCTAGGGCGTACTCGTCCAAGGGAGTACTCGTCCTAGGGAGTACTCGTACTACGGAGTACCAGCCATAGGGAATACTAGTCCTGTGGAGTGCTAGTCCGAGGGACTGCTAGGAAGTACTGACGCTAGGGAGTGCTGGCCCTAGGAAGTACTGGCACTAGGGAGTGCTAGCCCTAGGGCGCTAGGGACGACGAGAAGTAGTAGTAGTAGTCGTCGTCGTCGTCGTCGTCGTCGTCGTCGTCGGCGTCGGCGTCGGCGTCGGCGTCGTCGTCGTCGTCGTCGTCGTAGTAGTAGTAGTAGTAGTAGTAGTCGTAGTCGTAGTCGTAGTCGTAGCCGTAGCAGTAGTAGTAGTAGTAGTAGTAGTAGCAGTAGTAGTAGTAGTAGTAGTAGTAGTAGTAGTCGTAGTCGTAGTCGTAGTCGTAGTCGTAGTCGCAGTAGTAGTAGTAGTAGTAGTAGTAGTAGTAGTAGTAGTAGTAGTAGTAGTAGTAGTAGTAGTAGTAGTAGTAGTGGTGGTGGTAGTAGTCGTAGTAGTAGTAGTAGTAGTAGTAGTAGTAGTAGTAGTAGTAGAAGTAGTAGTAGTAGTAGTAGTAGCAGTTGTAGTTGCAGTTGTAGTAGCAGTCGTAGTAGTAGTAGTACTAGCCGTAGTAGTAGTAGTATAGTAGTAGTGTAGTAGTAGTAGTAGTAGTCGTCGTAGCAGTAGCAGTCGTAGTAGTAGTAGTAGTAGTAGTACTAGTAGTAGTAGTAGTAGTAGTAGTAGTAGTAATCGTAGTCGTAGCCGTAAAAGTAGTAGTAGTAGTAGTAGTAGTAGTAGTAACAGTAGTAGTAGTCGTAGGAGCAGTAGGAGTAGTAGTAGTAATAGTAGTCGTAGTAGTAGTAGTAGTAGTAGTAGTAGTAGTAGTAGTAGTAGTAGTAGTAGTATTCATAGTGGTAGTCGTAGTAGATCGTCGTCGTCGTCGTCGTCGCCGTGGTAGTAGTAGTAGTAGTAGTAGAAGAAGTAGGAGTAGTAGTGGCAGTAGTAGTAGTAGTAGCATTAGTTTGGGTAGTAGTAGTAGTAGTAGTAGTAGTACTAGTCGTCGTCGTAGTAGTAGTAGTAATAGTAGCAGTAGCAGTAGTAGTAGTAGTAGTAGTAGTCGTCGTCGTCGTCGTCGTCGTAGTAGTAGTAGTAGTAGTAGTCGTAGTATTAGTCGTAGTAGTAGTAGTAG